CCGTGAGAAGCTAGGAAGGTAGTTTTGTAAAAGGCGAGAAGATGCTCTAAGTCTAACAACACACCATACTCCGGCAGTTGAATACTTGTTGGTGGTTCGTGATGATTACGCGTCTAGAATGACAGTGGGACGTATTAATGATGTTCATTTCCATGTGAAGGGAGGAGCACGTGATTGTATTGTTGATTTGGGCCAAAAATAAATGTACATGTGGTGTCTTCTTCATTGAGAAGATACCTTGCTCGCATGCTATTGCCGCTTTGATAGAGAGTAAACAAGATGTCGCTACCGGTGTTTGCCCGATATATGGGAGGGATTATTTGTATTGGACGAATGCACAAAGCATTTTTCCGAAAAATCCAGTCGGTGAAGGTATAGAATCAACCCCATGTCTGCCTCATTTCGTGAACACGCGTCCGGGTCGGAAGAAGAAATCAAGGTGGCAAACTTGGCTAGAAATCGTAAGGATGAAAGGTACTAAACCGCGGAAGATTCATGCTCAATACAATTGTTCAAAATGCAACCAACCGGGCCATACGATGCCGAATCGTGGTACTTAATCTACTCTTCCGGTTTATTGTTTCATGTCATTTTTAATATTTGGTATGGTTTGTCAAATTGTGGTACTTAATCTAATCTCTCCGAGAGAAGAATGTSTSCTAAGGTTATRTTTTTTAGATTTTAAGATGATTTGCGTTTGTAGACTTTAAATTTGTTGTCTTTGTCGAACATGGTGCTATAAGGTTATGTTTTTAATTTTTAAATTTGTGGTCATCTTACATTAGTATATGTACAAAGCCATGAATATCGTACAATGAGAAGTTTACAAGAGAAGTCTAAAAGAGAAGTCTACAAGAGAAGTCATTAGTTTATAAAATATCAGTAGCTTAGCAATGATACAAATCCCAAACAAAAACCAAAGTTTATCCGAGTCACATCCCACCATAGAATATGAGTTTTTGTACATCTACAATATATATGCAAGATTCCTAAAAATTAGGCGGGAAATTCAAAAACATATAAAGAGTTGGAACAATATTAGTCATAAAGGTCCAAGTCTTTATACGTTGATGGGTCTGTCCCACGAAATATTAGTCACTTGATTTTTGCATCACACAAGGCAGCAGAACTAAATGGATAGCCGAGAGCGTGGCATTCAATGTACTTCAGTGTATACACTCCACAATCCCCACCTTGCTTGTTTTGTGGTACTTTCGTATGTTTCAAGTTTGCCCCCATATGTTTCAAGTTTTTTATTTCGTGTTCGAGGACAACGGAATCCTTAAGATGCTTTAGAAACAAGAAGTCGGGTACCTATCAAATTCAGAGAGAGAGAGATTAGCTCAAGATACGCATTAACAATGCGTACATGTACATAAGTATAATATGTGTGATAGTACCTAGTGACGCTGCAAACACTTTTCGGTGAAGCAGCTGGAGTCAACTTAGGAGTCGTACTTGGTTTCGAACTGTTTTTCTGGCTAATACCAACGGCACTGAAGACGGCGGCGAGGATAATCGCAACCAAAACAACGACGGAAACGGCTGTCACAAACACCCGCTTCATCGTCTTTCTCTTGATGGTATTCCACGGAATAACAAATAGTGGAGATATTGTGTTGTACCCAAACTATGTAGCTGACAATCAGTTCTGTATCTCTTACTACAATCTCGAGAGCAAAGTTATGGTAAGAGTAAGAGTTGTTGTTCGAGGGTTTGATTTTCGTAAATGTATTGGAATTTATGCGTAACTAAACTATATATGTAGCGGATCCGAGGATGTGAAGCTTATATTATAAGTGTTTTACTGAATTTTTATACAGTTTTTGAGGGTTTTATTTTACTTGTTCAAAGCTATTTCAAGATTTTTAAAATTCTGTGACACAAAGTCAGTGGTTTTTTGTTTCTACTCCAACAACATTTGCTTTAATAATCGAAGTTTCGGACATACAATTGAGTTATTTTAGTTACAAATATATCATTACGAACTGGAATCTTTGTTCACATGCAACCAAATGTTTAATATATCACTAAAGAGCTATTGAACCGGATATGAAATTTCTCTTCTTTTTAACTCCAAAGATGTAGGCGTGGGAGCTAATTAAGTATCAAAAGATACATCTAATCAAGCTCTCCGAATATAAATCGCGTTTTAACTTTATGGCTTGTCTTAAGCATATATCCTGTCCTAAACGAAGCCCAACTTGTCTTCTACGTAACAAAGCTTCACTTACGTAACGTGGTTTTAGGTCACTCTTAGCATAATATCAAGAAACTCCAAGATCAATCGAGAAACTTTACTTCATGTTAGCCGAGGTTTTCCGTCTGAAAAGTTAAAAATTACTCTCGCTTGAACAAAGAATCAAGCTTAACCAGTGAGAAGCGAGATCCCTTCCATACCTCTGAAATTTGCCATCCTTCACGCAAAGGTTCTAAGAGACAACATGCCAAATGCCTTCGTTTCTTCCACAACCTCTCCTATGTCCTGTCATTGTGATTTCTCCAATTATACTTGCTTACATGGTTTTCTATTTCATTGACTGTTTATTTTATTATCTTCTTAGTTAAATGTTTTCAAACCCCAAATTCAACTCTACTGTCCGAATCTTCCAAAAAATAACATAATCAAAAAATTTAATTAGAACTGGATTAAACGATCAAAAACCCATTAGCTAAACTAAATCCCCGTAGACCAACCATTAATTAGTGCACGCTTGCGACTAGTGCTTTTGGTTTTTTACTCTTTACAAATAGTAAAATTGAGCATCAAGACATAAAAAAAGGATTACGAACATTGTATTCCAATTACCAAAATTTAAAAGGAACATAATAACGAGGGGAAAAAGGCTAATTCCCCCGTGAACTTACGAGGTGCTGTTTGTTTATACGTAGATGATCTATCAAAATAGGCCAAAACCCCATGAACTTTATATAATTTTTGAATTTCTCCCATAACCTATTACAATTTGGCCAATTTACACAAACCGCAGACGGAATCTGTTATTCATTAAACAGATGGTGACGTGGATTACAGGTGGCTAACGGGGTTCAATTTGGTTTAAACTTACCAAAATCAATTGATTTGTTGACTGGTTTAACACAAAAACAGCGTCGTTTTTGCATCTGGAAAAATAAAAAAAAAGGGTTTATACACAGAGGAGAGGAGGCGAGTCGCGTTCTTCGT